GGCTTCCCATCACACAGAAGATCCTGGTGCCCACTTTCAAAGCCCTCCATGGACTTGATCCCCTCACCTCTGAGACCTCCTAGCCACCTACCATCCTGCCTGCTCCCTCGGCTCAGCGAGCTCTGGCCTGCTTCATGTTCCCTACCTAGCCTGCCCCACCATTGGCGGGTGGGCCTTCAGCCACTCTGCTCCCACCCTCTGGAACTCCATCCCACAGTCTCTCCGCCTCGTACCCTCCCTTGGCTCCTTCAAGATCCTCCATTTCAACTGTGCCTTCGGTCACCCTCCTTCCCCTGCCCCCCACCCTCCCCAATCCCGACCCCCAGCTCGTTTCAGAAACACAGACTGTCCAGCATATTGGGACTTCCTCCTGACGTGAAAGGCGCTATACAAATGTAATTCTGTTGTTGTTGTACCTGCATCCTAAATGCAACAATTACTAGTGTTCCTTGTTATTGATTATTACTGTTATTGTTGGACCAGTAGTGCAGTGCGTTGCTTTTATGAACTCTGGAAAACATGATTAGTTATTATTGTTTTTATGTTTCAGTGAATGGCTTGTGCCTACAGGTGTACATGTATGCAGGTTAGACATTTTTCTCTTGCACGAACACCTTTATTATGAGGACACAAAAACTGATACGTTTCTGGTTTACACATCAAGCAAGAAAGTGGTTTACAGCCCTGGGAGCAGTTCGGGGAGGAGACGAGAGCAAAGTAAGGGCAGCAGCCCTTAAGATTTTTGGGGGATCAGCCAGTTGTTAGACACATGCGGAAACCCATCACTGTGTTTGGGACGTCCTCCCGACGTGAAAAGCGCTATATCAAATGCAAAGATTATTATTATTATTATTATTAAGAGTATCCAAGCCAAGCTGAGATTACCATGCCTCCCACCTGGACATAGAAATCCCAGAGAAAGATTGCTGCAATGGAACGCACCCTCTCTCCGTGGAGGGACGCATCCCGCTTCCCTAATTCCGGGAAAGTATTAGGCGCAGGTTGGCAAGAACCAAGGCTTGGGGAACCCAGAGTGTGTGTGGGACAGAGAGTGGGGTCTGGGTCGGGGGGGGGACAGAGAGTGGGGTCAGGGTCGGGGGGAGACAGAGAGCGTGGTCAGGTTCAGGGGGGACAGAGAGTGGGGTCTCTGCTGGAGTCGAACCAGCTAACTCCGCAAAGCTTGCCAGTGATATCACTGCCTGGCAAGCTATCCGGCAGCTTGTCCGGCTACGACCACCCGACCCGTCAGGGACAAGCAACGGGAGCCACATCTGGACTTTGTCCTTGGCAACACCTGGAAGAGCCAGAAACCCATCCCGGCCTCTCCCAGCGTGGCCCCGCTCTCTGTCACCCCCTGACCCTGGCCCCGCTCTCTGTCACCCCCTGACCCTGACCCCACTCTCTGTCACCCCCTGACCCTGACCCCACTCTCTGTCCCCCCTGACCCTGACCACACTCTGTCCCCCCTGACCCTGACCCCACTCTCTGTCCCCCCCTGACCCAGACCCCACTCTCTGTCCCCCCTGACTCAGACCCCACTCTCTGTCCCCCGACTCAGACCCCACTCTCTGTCCCCCCGACTCAGACCCCACTCTCTGTCCCCCTGACCCAGACCCCACTCTCTGTCCCCCCTGACCCAGACCCCACTCTCTGTCCCCCCTGACTCAGACCCCACTCTCTGTCCCCCCGACTCAGACCCCACTCTCTGTCCCCCTGACCCAGACCCCACTCTCTGTCCCCCCCTGACTCAGACCCCACTCTCTGTCCCCCCGACTCAGACCCCACTCTCTGTCCCCCCCTGACTCAGACCCCACTCTCTGTCCCCCCGACTCAGACCCCACTCTCTGTCCCCCTGACCCAGACCCCACTCTCTGTCCCCCTGACCCAGACCCCACTCTCTGTCCCCCCTGACTCAGACCCCACTCTCTGTCACCCCCTGACCCTGACCCCGCTCTCTGTCCCCCCCGACCCAGACCCCACTCTCTGTCCCCCCCTGACCCTGACCCCACTCTCTGTTCCCCTGACCCAGACCCCACTCTCTGTCCCCCCCTGACCCTGACCCCACTCTCTGTTCCCCCTGACCCAGACCCCACTCTCTGTACCCCCTGACCCTGACCGCACTCTGTGCCCCCTGACCCTGACACCACTCTCTGTCCCCCACTGACCCAGACCCCACTCTCTGTCCCCCCCTGATTCAGACCCCACTCCCTGTCCCCCCCTGACCCTGACCCCACTCTCTGTTCCCCTGACCCAGACCCCACTCTCTGTCCCCCCCTGACCCTGACCCCACTCTCTGTCCCCCCGACCCAGACCCCACTCTGTCCCCCTGAACCTGACCCCACTCTCTGTCCACCCCTGACCCTGACCCCACTCTCTGTCCCCCTGACCCTGACCCCTCTCTGTCCCCCTGACCCAGACCCCACTCTGTCCCCCTGAACCTGACCCCGCTCTCTGTCCACCCCCTGACCCTGACCCCACTCTCTATCCTCCTGACCCAGACCCCACTCTCTGTCCCCCTGACCCAGACCCACTCTCTGTCCCCTGACCCAGACCCCCCTCTGTCCCCCACCGACCCCACTCTCTGTCCCCCCTGAACCTGACCCCACTCTCTGTCCACCCCTGACCCTGACCCCACTCTCTGTCCCCCTGACCCAGACCCATCTCTTTCCCCCTGACCCAGACCCCACTTCCTGTCCCCTGACCCAGACCCCGTTCTGTCCCCCACCCTGACCCCACTCTCTGTCCCCCCCTGACCCAGATCCCGCTCTGTCCCCCCCTGACCCAGACCCCACTCTCTGTCCCCCTGACCCAGACCTATCTCTGTCCCCCTGACCCAGACCCCACTCCCTGTCCCCTGACCCAGACCCCGCTCTGTCCCCCTGACCCTGACCCCACTCTCTGTCCACCCCCAACCCAGACCCCACTCCCTGTCCCCCTGACCCCACTCCCTGTCCCCCTGTCCCCACTCCCTGTCCCCAAGACCCCTCTCTCTGTCCCCTGTCCCCACTCCCTGTCCCCCTGACCTCACTCCCTGTCCCCCTGTCCCCACTCCCTGTCCCCCAGACCCCTCTCTCTGTCCCCCTGTCCCCACTCCCTGTCCCCCTGACCTCACTCCCTGTCCCCCTGACCCCACTCCCTGTCCCCACCCTGACCCCACTCCCTGTCCCCCACCCAGACCCCTCTCCCTGTCCCCCAGACCCACTCCCTGTCCCCCAGACCCCACTCTCTGTCCCCCTGACCCCACTCCCTGTCCCCCTGTCCCCACTCCCTGTCCCCCTGTCCCCACTCCCTGTCCCCCTGTCCCCCTGACCCCACTCCCTGTCCCCCAGACCCCACTCCCTGTCCCCCAGACCCCACTCCCTGTCCCCCGACCCCTCTCCCTGTCCCCCTGTCCCCACTCCCTGTCCCCCTGACCCCACTCCCTGTCCCCCTGTCCCCACTCCCTGTCCCCCTGACCCCACTCCCTGTCCCCCCAACCCCTCTCCCTGTCCCCCTGTCCCCACTCCCTGTCCCCCAGACCCCACTCCCTGTCCCCCTGACCCCACTCCCTGTCCCCCTGACCCTCTCCCCCGACCCTTCTCCCTGTCCCCTGACCCCACTCCCTGTCCCCTCTCCCTGTCCCCCTGTCCCCCTGTCCCCACTCCCTGACCCCACTCCCTGTCCCCACTCCCTGTCCCCCTGTCCCCACTCCCTGTCCCCCTGACCCCACTCCCTGACCCCACTCCCTGTCCCCCTGTCCCCACTCCCTGTCCCCCTGTCCCCACTCCCTGTCCCACTCCCTGTCCCCTGTCCCCACTCCCTGACCCACTCCCTGTCCCCACTCCCTGTCCCCTGACCCCACTCCCTGTCCCCACTCCCTGTCCCCCGACCCCACTCCCTGACCCCACTCCCTGTCCCCCTGACCCCACTCCCTGACCCCACTCCCTGTCCCCCTGACCCCACTCCCTGACCCCACTCCCTGTCCCCCTGACCCCACTCCCTGACCCCACTCCCTGTCCCCCTGACCCCACTCCCTGTCCCCTGACCCCACTCCCTTCCCCTGACCCCACTCCCTGTCCCCCTGACCCACTCCCTGTCCCCCTGACCCCACTCCCTGTCCCCCTGACCCCACTCCCTGTCCCCCTGACCCCACTCCTGTCCCCTGTCCCCACTCCCTGTCCCCCTGACCCCACTCCCTGTCCCCCAGACCCACTCCCTGTCCCCCTGTCCCCACTCCCTGTCCCCCTGTCCCACTCCCTGTCCCCCAGACCCCTCTCCCTGTCCCCCTGTCCCCACTCCCTGTCCCCACTCCCTGTCCCCCTGTCCCCACTCCCTGTCCCCCTGTCCCCACTCCCTGTCCCCACTCCCTGTCCCCCTGACCCCACTCCCTGTCCCCACTCCCTGTCCCCTCTCCCTGTCCCCCTGTCCCCTTTCCCCCTGTCCCCTCTCCCTGTCCCCCTGTCCCCTCTCCCCTGTCCCTCTCCCTGTCCCCCTGTCCCCTGTCCCCCTGTCCCTCTCCCTGTCCCCCTGTCCCCTCTCTCCCTGTCCCTCTCCCTGTCCCCTGTCCCCTCTCCCCTGTCCCCTCTCCCTGTCCCCTGTCCCTGTCCCCTGTCCCCTCTCCCTGTCCCCTGTCCCCTCTCCCCCTGTCCCCTCTCCCTGTCCCCCTGTCCCCTCTCCCCCTGTCCCCTCTCCCTGTCCCCCTGTCCCCTCTCCCCTGTCCCCACTCCCTGTCCCCCTGTCCCCTCTCCCCCTGTCCCTCTCCCTGTCCCCCTGTCCCTCTCCCTGTCCCTGTCCCTCTCCCTGTCCCCCCTGTCCCCTCTCCCCCTGTCCCCACTCCCTGTCCCCTGTCCCCTCTCCCCCAGACCCCTCTCCCTGTCCCCCTGTCCCTCTCCCTGTCCCCCTGTCCCTCTCCCTGTCCCCTCTCCCTGACCCCCTGTCCCTCTCCCTGTCCCCCTGTCCCTGTCCCGCTCTCCCTGACCCCCTGACCCCCGGCCCAGGCCCGGATCCCCGGCCTCGCTTACCCAGGTTGTGCTGCTCCAGACCCACTCTCTGGCGGACCCACTGCTCACTCACCGTCAGCGCCATCAGCTCAGCGCAGCCGCACTGCAGCCCCGAGCAACGTCACAGCGGCCCCTCCCCCTCCTCCACTGTAATCACACACAGTCACTACACCACACACAGTCACTACACACACACACAGTCACTACACACACACACACACAGTCACTACACACACACACAGTCACTACACACACACACACACAGTCACTACACACACACACAGTCACTACACACACACACACAGTCACTACACACACACACACACAGTCACTACACACACACACAGTCACTACACACACACACACACAGTCACTACACACACACACACAGTCACTACACACACACAGTCACTACACACACACAGTCACTACACACACACACAGTCACACACACACACACAGTCACTACACACACACACAGTCACTACACACACACACACAGTCACTACACACACACACACAGTCACTACACACACACACACAGTCACTACACACACACACAGTCACTACACACACACAGTCACTACACCCACACACAGTCACTACACCCACACACAGTCACTACACCCACACACACACAGTCACTACACACACACACAGTCACTACACACACACACAGTCACTACACACACACACAGTCACTACACACACACACAGTCACTACACACACACAGTCACTACACACACACACAGTCACTACACACACACAGTCACTACACACACACAGTCACTACACACACAGACAAACACACCAACATACACCAACACACACACACAAACTAATCACACACACACCACAGTCACTACACACTGTCACACACACACACCAACACACACAGTCACTTCACACAGTCACATACACACACAAACACACACAGTCACACACACACTGTCACATACACACACACCAACACACACAGTCACTTCACAAACTGTCATATACACACACCAACACACACAGTCACTTCACAAACTGTCATATACACACACCAACACACACACACCACAGCTGTAATCACACAAACATCACCACACAGACAGTCACACACACTACACCAACACACACACACCACAGCTACAGTCTCACACACACACAGTCACACACACACCACAACTGTAATCACACAAACACCACAGTCACTACACACACCAACGCATACACACAACTGTAATCACACAAACACCACCATAGCTACAGTCACACACACTACACACCAACACCACAACTGTAATCACACATACACATCACCATATACACCAACACACACACCACCATACGGACAGTCACACACCAACACACACACAGTCACACACACACACCAACACACACACAGTCACACACACACACCAACACACACAGACACACACACACCACCAACACACACACACACACACACACACACACACACACACACACACACACACACACACACACACACACACACACCAACACACACACAGTCACACACACACACCAACACACACATAGTCACACACACACCAACACACACAGACACACACAGTCACACACACAGACACACACACAAACACACACACCAACACACACAGACACACACACAAACACACACACCAACACACACAGACACACACACACACCAACACACACAGACACACACACACACACACCAACACACACAGACACACACAGTCACACACACAGACACACACACAAACACACACACCAACACACACAGACACACACACAAACACACACACCAACACACACAGACACACCAACACACACAGACACACACACACACACACCAACACACACAGACACACACACACACCAACACACACACAGTCACACACACACACCAACACACACATAGTCACACACACACCAACACACACAGACACACACACACACACACACCAACACACACCAACACACACAGACACACACACACACATCAACACACACCACAACTGTAATCACACACACATCACAGCTACAGTCTCACACACACACACACACATTACCGTACAGACAGTCACACACACACAGTCACTACACACACGCACACCACAACTGTAATCACACACACACCACAGCTACAGTCACACACACACACCAACACACATACCACAATTGTAATCACACACATATCGCAGCTACAGTCACACACACACACACAGTCACACACACCACAACTGTAATCACATACACACACATCACCATACAGACAGTTACACTACACACACACCACAACTGTAATCACACACACACCACGTCACCATACAGTCACACACAGTCACACACACCCACAACTGTAATCACACACACACACACACACACACACCCACAGTCACACACACACACACTACACCCAGACCGGAGCCGGCTGAGCGGAGGGAACGGGCGGGTTGGTAGGGGGTTAGGAGGTCCCAGAGGTAGGATGGGGCGAGTCCATGGAGGGCTTTATAGGTGAGGACCAGGATCTTGAACTGGATCCTCTGAAGGATAAGGAGCCAATGGAGTCGGGCGAGAGTGGGGGAGATGGGGTCACGGAGTTTGGTGCGGGAGAGGACACGGGCTGCAGAGTTCTGGATTATCTGCAGCCTGTGGAGGGAGGAGTTGGGAAGGTGACAAGCAGGGAGTTTGCATAGTCGAGGCTGGAGGTGATGAAGGCACGAACAAGAGTTTCAGTGGCCTGAGGGGTGAAGTAGTGGCGGAGTCGGGCAACGTTACGGCGGTGAGGGAAGGCAGAGCGAGTCATGGCTTGGATGTGGGGAAGAAAGACAGTTGAGGGTTGAACAAGACACCCAGGTTCCTGACTGGCGGTGAGTTGTAGTGTGCAACCATGGAGGTTGATGCTGCCAGAGCCTGAGGTGCAGAGGCGCTGGCACGAGCCAATCAGGAGGGTCTTGTTCACATTCAACTGTAGGAAGTTTGCCCTCATCCAGGACTTGATGTCCGACAGTAACCAGTAATCGGATCAAACTGACACAGCTCAGTAAATGAGCAACGATTACAGCAGCTTTAGAAACCGAGTTACGCGAAACTTTTAACACTGGCCCATCAAACAGCCACGGCGCTGGTGAAATGTGATTTAACCTTACCAGACCATAAACCTTTTATTAAGCAATTAACAATGTAAGATGTTTAGAAAGTCATTACTAAATTCTTGTTGTCCATAAATGGTTTTGTTATTATCACACACACACACACCACAGCTATAATCACACATACACATTAGACCCATAGTCACACACTCACATTACACCCATAGTCACATAACAGCTATAATCACACACAAACAAAAATTACACCTGTAGTCACACACGCACACATAAACATTACACCCATAGTCACACACACACACACACATGCACACACACACACACACACACACACCAGCTATAATCACAAACACATATTTTACAGCTATAATCACAGACACACACATTACAGCTATAATCAAACACACACATTACAGCTATAATCACACACACACAACAGCTATAACCACACAGACACACATTCCACCCACAGTCATACACACACATTACACCCATAGTCACACACACACACATTACACTCATAATCACAAACACACATTACAGCTATAATCACACATACACACCACAGCTATAATCACACACACACACATTACACCCATAGTTACATACACACACCCACCACAGCTATAATCACACACACAAATTACACCCGTAATAATAATAATATTAATAATTATTATTAAATTACACCCGTAGTCACACACACACATTACACCCATAGTCACACACACAAACACACCACAGCTATGATCACATACACACACATTACAGCTATAATCAAACACACACACATTACAGCTATAATCACACACACATTACAGCTATAACCACACATACATTGCAGCTATGATCTCACACACACACTACAGCTATAATCACACACACATTACAGCTATAATCACACACACACATTACAGTTATAATCACACACACACATTACAGCTGTAACCACACATTACAGATATAATCACACACACATTACAACTATAATTATGCACACACACCACAGCTATAATCACACACACATTATAGCTTTAATCACACACACACATTACAGCTACAATCACACATTACAGCTATAATCATTTACACATTACAGCTATAATCACACACATACATTACAGCTATAATCACACACAACAGCTAAAATCACTAATATATATTACAGCTTTAATCATACACACACCACAGGTATAATCACGCACACACATTACACCCATAATCACATACACACACATTACACCCATAGTCATACACACACACACACACACCACAGCTATAATTACACACACGCAAATTACACCTGTAGTCACACACACACATTACACACAGTCACACACACAAACACACCACAGCTATAATCACATACATAAACATAACAGCTATAATCACATACACACACATTACAACTATAATCACACACATTACAGCTATAATCACACACACATTACAACTATAATTATACACACACAGCACAGCTATAATCACACACACATTACAAATATAATTATACACACACACTACAGCTACAATCACACACACACACATTACAGCTATAATCACACACACGTTACAGCTATAATCAGACACACACCACAGCTATAATCAAACACACACATGCATTGCAGCTATAATCACACACACATGACAGCTATAATCACACACACACATTACAGCTTTAATCACACACACGCACACACACATTACAGCTATCACCACACACATATTACAGCTATAATCACACATACACATCACAGCTATAATCACACACACAATTCACAGACACCCACGCACATATAATCACAGACACATACACACATTACAGCTGTAATCACAGACAAACACACATTACAGTTGTGATCACAGAAAGCACAACGTTACACTGATAAATTTGATTAAATGTAAAAAAACTAAATTGATTTCATTTTTGTTGTCCCCTTGAGCTAAATAAGATTTTCATCACTTTTATAATCTGCTGTCATCCATCTGTCCACGGTCCCATCTTTTGGTTCTG